GATTACAGGTGTGAGCCACTGGTGCCTAGCACCACAATTTTTTTTTTTTTTTTTTAAGAGTGGGGGGGAGAAGGTCCTGGTGTTTGTATTCAGGGCTTGGGCACTGTGCTTGAGCTTCATTTGCTCAAGGCTATCATTCTACTACTTGAGCCACAGCTCCACTTCCAGCTTTCTTTTTTTTTGTATTTTAGTGGAGATAAGAATTTCATAGCACTGGGAATGAGGCTTAATGGTAGAGTGCCTGCTTAGCATGCATGAAGTCCTGGGTTCAATTCCTCAGTACCACATAAACAGGAGGAGCCTGAAGTGACACTATGGCTTAATTGGCAGAGTGCTAACCTTGAGCAAAAGCAGCTCACTGACACCCACCCCTGAGTTCAAGCCTCAGAACTGGCAATAAAAATAATAATTGTATAGACCTTTCTGCCCAGGCTGGCTTTGAACCTTACTTTTCAGATCTCCTGAGTATCTAGGAGTTGGTATGAGCCAACACTGCCTTGCTGTAAGTTCTTTTTAACATCTTCTTACCTCTAAACCTCCTCCCTTCCTATGGTATAGGTGGTTCCTTAACTGGAATAAGCAGTTACATCAAAATTGTTTTTTTAGGGGCTGGGAAGGTGGCTCAGTGGTAGAGCATTTGCCTTGCATGCTCGAGGCCCTGGGTTCGATTCCTCAGTACCACATTAAAAAAAAAGCCGGAAGTGGTGCTGTGGCTCAAGTGGTAGAGTGCTAGCCTTGAGCTGAAGAGCTGAGGGACAGTGCCCAGGCCCAGAGTTCAGGCCCCACGACTGGACCCCCAAAATATTTGTTTTTTTTAAGCCGGGCACCAGGGCTCACGCCTGTAATCCTAGCTACTCTGGAGCCTGAGCTCTGAGGATCACAGTTCAAAGCCACCCGGGCAGGAAAGTCCTTGAGACTCTTATCTCAAATTAACCATCAGAAAACGAGAAGTGGCTCTGTGGCTCAAGTGTTAAAGTGCTAGTTTTATGCAAAAAGAACCTGAGGGACAGTGACAGTGCCCTGGCTCAGAGTTCAAGCTCTAGGACTGGAGGAAGGAAGGAAGGACTCCTGATTTCTGTTATCTTTCTTTTTTTTTTTTTGTCAGTCGTGGGGCTTGAACTCTAGGCCTGGGCGCTGTCCCTCAGCTCTTCAGCTCAAGGCAAGTGCTTTACCACTTGAGCTACAGCGCCACTTCCGGCTTTCTGGTGGTTTATTGGAGATAGGAGTCTCACGGTCTCTCCTGCCCGGGCTGGCTTTGAACTGCTATCCTCAGATCTCAGCCTCCTGAGTAGCTAGGATTACAGGCGTGAGCCACCAGTGCCCAGCTTGATTTCTGTTATCTTTCTACCCTATCTAAACTTGTTCTTTTATTTTTGGGAGGGGGGGCTTTGCTCCCCCACCCTTTTCTTTTTTCTTTTTTTTTTTTTTGATCTGGTCATGGGGCCTGAACTCTAGGCCTGGGCCCTGTCCCTCAACTCTTCAGCTCAAGGCTAGCGCTCTACCACTTGAGCCACAGTGCCATTTCCAGCTTTTTTCTTTTTTCTTATATGGTGCTGAGGAATCGAACCCAAGGCCTCTGGCATGCAAGGCAAGTACTCTACCACTGAGCCACCTTCCCAGCTCTCCCCCACTGTGTTTGTGTAGTTTTGCTGGACTGGCCTGAAATATGATTTATCTGCTTCAGCCTTTGGAATAGCTGGGATTATGGGTTTGTACACTACCCCCAACTTGAAATTTAAAAACTTCATGAGGCTTCCTGTCCTTTTTAACTTTTTAAAATATATTTGGTGGTTATGGGGCTTGAATTCAGGGTCTGAGTGCTGTCCCTGAGTTGTTTAAGGCTAGTACTCTCACTTTGAGCCACAGTTCCACTTCAGTTTTCTGATGATTGTGAAGTTAAATATCTAATGGGCTTTGCTGCACTAACTAGCTGTCTTCAAACCAAGATTCTCAGATCTCAAGCCTCCTAAATGGCAAGGATTATAGGTGTGAGCTACCAGTGCCCAGATTCTTGTCTTTTTTTTTTTTCTTGTCATGGAGCTTGAATTCTGGGCCTGGGCACTCTTCCTGAGTTTCTTTTGCTCACCAGGGCTCTACTATTTGAGCCACAGTGCCACTTCCTGCTTTGTTTGAATAGTTTGTTAGAGATAAGAGTCTCATGGAGTTTCCTGCCTGGGCTGGCTTGGAACCATGATCCTCAGATTGCAGTCTCTGAGTAGCCAGGTGCCCCGCTTCCTGTCCTTTTTTTGGATAGGAAGTTTGTTTAAGGCAAGTCTTACATAGCCAAAGCAGGCTTCAAACTCAAAATCTTCCCTCTGCTTCCTGAGTGTGAGGACTGGAAGTGTGTGCCACTACACCCAACAGTCTTTGAGCACACCATTTACATATGTCTATATACCCATATTCTTGTAGAGAGGTGCCTGCTAGTCTTGTATGTTTCTGAGCACCAGCCTTTGCCTGCTTTTCCTCCTCTGCCATGCAGTGTGAGAGGCAGGAAGCTAGAGTCTCAGGCTCACCTTGCCCTATTGCCAGTTCCTGGCAAGGATCCCAGTAGGTTAATATGGAACAGCCGCTTCTGAGATGTGTTACAGGGATCTGCATGAAGCCTTGTTGGCCCCTTGTCAGAGAGCATGAAGAGTAATTCTTTGGCAGGTCATCCTTATCCTTGTCGCTTCCCTTAAAGAAGCACATCTTTGTCATTTCTCTGCAAAGATGTGAGGTTTAGGATGTGATCTTGGTTTTCAGAACTTTATACAGACTCAGTTCTGTGTTTCCATCTCCTAGATTTAATTGTTCTTAGTTTTTGTTTCTTTTTTTTTCTTTTTTTTCCCCGCCTGTTGTGGGGCTTGAACTCAGGGCTTGGGTGTCGCCCCAGAGCCTCTTTGTGCTCTAGGCTAGAGGTCTGCCACTTGAGCCACAATATTTTCTAACTGGAAACTGAAATGGAGTTTCAACTATGTTTACAATAGAATAATTTTGGTGATGGTTATGATTCTAGCTTGCTTTGCTTGCTTGTTCAGTGGCACTTTATCACATGAACCATGCTTCCACCCTTCCAGTCCCACTTTTTGCTGGTTATTTTAGAGATAGACTCTAGTGAACTTTCTGCCCAGGCTGGCCTCAAACCTTGATCCTCTGACTTCAGCCTTCTGGGTAGGATTATAAGCATGATTATAGCGTGCCTTTTTATATTTTAAAGTTGAGTTATCAAGGAGAAACTTGAGTTTCTCCTTGTGGACATCCTATGCAAGCAGCAAAAGTACTTATACATTGCTTCACTGTGACCGTTGCTAAGATTTTTCTTTTCTTGGAAGTAAGGATCTTGATATGTTGAACTTGATATGTTGATCAGACTGGGCTTTCGAACTGAGCTTAAACACTTCTGCTGCCTCAGCCTCTTGAGTAGCAAAACTATGAACACTAGCCATTGTATGGGGCAATGAGGGGATTGTTGTTTTATCTCTTGTTCGTAGTTACATTTAGCCTCTAGAACAATACTGGCAAATGGATGAGTGAATGAAAAATTGAACCATTAAATCACACAGAGAGTTTAGTAATAGTTCATTGGGGATGAAGTTCCTTCTCTAAGACTGATCTTTTCCATAAAATATCTCATAATGGGGCTGTGAAGATGGCTCAGCAGTAGAGTGCTTGCCTTGCATTTATGAGGCCCTGGGTTTGATTCCTCAGCACCACATAAACAGAAAAAGCTGGAAGTGGCACTGTGCTTCAAGTGGTAGTGTATTAGCCTTGAGCTGAAGAGCTCAGGGCTACAGCGCCCAGGCCTAGAGTTCAAGCCCCATGACCCACCAAAAAAAACCCCACAACCCCCCCAAAAAAAAACAACTCATAAAACATGAGTTATATCTTGGAGAGTGAATAAAGGTGAGATTGATAGAGATTTGAAGAAAGCCTGTCAAGCAAAGACAGAATAGTGTGTGTGATAGATAAATCTGGAGTCATTCTAGAAGTCCTAGTAGAATTAATATGTATGTTTAATAGGGACTATGAGATGTTCAGAGACTTATATTTTATTTACAAGTTTCCTTTTATATAAGGAGGATTAGATGCCCAGGGTGACAAAAAGCTTTGTTTTGGTCTGGCTCTTTTGTCCACAGACTAATATAAGGCCTCTTTGAAGCCATCTATGGTCCTAAGTAGGTTTGTTTTGTTTTTCTTTGATTGATTGATTTTTTATTTAGTTAGTTTTTTGGTTGGTCATGGGTCTTCACTCTGGGCCTGGGCACTGTCTCTCAACTCGTCAGCTCAACACTATTGCTCTACCACTTGAGCCACAGTGGTTTTCTGGTTGTTAATTGGAGATTGGAGTCTCATAGACTTTCTTGCCTGCCTGGGCTGGCTTTGAACTGCGATCCTCAGATCTCAGCCTCCTGAGTAGGATTACAGGCATGAGCCAACTGGTGGCTGGCTTTCTTTAGTTTTTTTTGTTTTCTTTTGGTTGGTAGTGGGGCTTGAACTCTGGGCTTGGGTGCTATTCCTGTGTTCTTCAGCTCAAGGTGAGCACTCTACCACTTGAGCCACAGAGCCACTTTGGTTTTATAGTGGTTAAAAAAAAAAGTCTCATGGACTTTCCTGCCTGGGCTGGCTTTGAACTGTGATCCTCAGATCTCAGTCTCCTGAGTAGCTAGGATTACAGGCGTGAACCACTGGCGCCCAGCTCTTTCTTTAGATTTTTGAGACTAGAGTCTCACTTTATAAGCCCAAGGTGGCATCACATTACTTTTCCTCCTGCCTTAGTTTCCTGAGTGCTGGAATTTATAAACATATACCATCATACCCAATCTGGGCAGAATTTACTATTTATTATCTATCTGTTCATGTCATGGTAGCATTTATATTTCTGTTTAACATGATGTTATATTTATTTTCATGTTTCATTTGACATGTACATTTGGTGACTGACAAATGAATGTTTGCATCCAGTTAGCCAGGTGAAATAGAAATTGTATTTATTTTTGTGCATCCTTCTTCTCTTGTAGCTATTTGTAGTAGATGTTCAGACAAGCCAGATCACCAAGATCCCTATTCTGAAAGACCGGGAACCTGGAGGTGTGACCCAGCAGGGCTGTGGTATCCATGCAATCGAGCTGAATCCCTCAAGGACATTGCTGGCCACTGGAGGAGACAACCCTAACAGTCTTGCCATCTATCGACTGCCTACACTAGATCCTGTGTGTGTAGGCGATGTAAGTTTTCCCATTGGTTGTAGTTTTTAAACATTGCCTAGTATGAACTCCTTTTCCTTCTAGAAAGGAATGATGTTCTCTAGATTTCTTTCACCTGTAAATATGAAGGTGAAGGGGTATAAATAGCAGAGTAGGGACTGAACTCCATAGACATGTTTTTATTTAATTAATTTATTTATTTATTTTGTTGGTCGTGGGACTTGAACTCTGGGCCTGGGCACTGTCCCTGCACTTTTCAGCTCAAGGTGAGTACTCTACCACTTCTGATTTTCTGGTGGTTTATTGGAGATAAGAGTTTCATTGGGGCTGGGAAGGTGGCTCAGTGGTAGAGCACTTGCCTTGCATGCCTGAGGCCCTGGGTTCGATTCCTCAGCACCACATAAGCAAAAAGAAAAATGCCGTAAGTGGCGCTATGGCTCAAGTGGTAGAGTACTAGCCTTGAGCTGAAGAGCTGAGGAACAGCGCCCAGGCCCAGAGTTCAGACCCCATGACTGGACCAAAAAAAAAAAAATGAGTTTCATGGACTTTCCTGTCTGTACAGGCTGGCAGATTTCAGCCTCCTGAGTGGCTAGGATTATAGGCATGAGCCAGTGCCTAACTTGTTTTTGTTTTTGGCAATACTACAGTGTGAAGGTTTTTTTGTTTTTTTTTTTTTTTTTTGGTCGGTCTTGGGGCTTGAACTCTGGGCCTGGGCGCTGTCCCTCCGCTCTTCAGCTCAAGGTGAGCACTCTACCACTTGAGCTACAACACCACTTCTGGTGGTTTATTGGAGATAGGAGTCTCATGGTCTTTCCTGCCTGGGCTGGCTTTGAACCGCAGTCCTCATATCTCAGCCTTCTGAGTAGCTAGGATTACAGGCATGAGCCACCATTGCCTGGCTGTGTTTTGATATAGGATTTCACTATGTTTACCAGGCTGGGCTTAGATTTGTAATCATCCTGCCTTTGCCCCTGACTGATGTGGATTTGCCACTGTCCCATGCTCACAGTTATTTAAAAACTGTTGTTGTTGTTTCTAAACAACTTCTTTTTCCTGACCTGGAGGTAGAGGAGCTCTGAGGTTGGATGAGCATATAACCCTGCAGGTGGCATGGCCCCAGGTAAGACTGTACAGTCAGGGTACTGCAGCTGTTAGGTGAACGTAGAGCCATATCAGCCTAAGTGGTCCAGTTCATATCCTAGTAATTGGGATATATCCTGAGCAGGCTGATGCACAGATTCTTGGCTATGTGGGTAGGATTCAGAGGCTGTAGAGGTTCTCTTGAGATACTGAAAGCCATCAGCAGGTTGGAGACCATCTGTACTGTGACCTGTTTCAGTTGCTAAGTAAGCTCAGAGAGGAGCTCCTTTAGTACAGAGACACAGGACATATTGTTTGCAACAAATATCAGCATGATGTTGGAGCAGTGGCAGGTCTGGGGTAGGAGCTCAAGTCAGCACTCACAGTCTATGAATCCTGGCACTCCAGCTGTATGATCATCACATAAGACCCTCCCCTTCTCCCCCCCTCCCTGTCCCCAGTCCTGGGGCTTGAACTCGGTCTGGGCACTGTCCCTCAGCTCTTCTGCTCAAGGCTAGTGCTCTAGCACTTGAGCTACAACGCCACTTCTGGTTTTCTGGTGGTTTATTGGAGATAAGAGTTTCACGGACTTTCCTACCCGGGCTGGCTTTGAACTGCGATCCTCAGATCTCAGCCTTCTCTGAGTAGCTAGGATTACAGGTGTGAGCCACTGTGCCTGGCCAAAGACATTTTTGATCAAACTTGTATGCTTTTTTAGGAGAGTTGAGTATAGTCCTTATTTTACTGATCCCTTTTTTTGTTTTCTTCTCTCTACCTCTTACTTTCTTTGCTCTGCTCTCAGGATGGACACAAAGATTGGATCTTTTCCATTGCATGGATCAACGATACTATGGCAGTGTCTGGTAAATTTAACTTTTTTTTTTAGGGGTTTTTGGCATGGTAGAAAGGGAGGGCTAGAGTTTGAAAAGCCATAGTAGTTGTAATAGCAATTAGTTCAGTAAATAAGAAAGATTGGCTAGAGGCCAAGATAGCTTGCTTCTAGTATTGGTTCTTTTTCTGACTTAACTGTAACTTTCAATAAATCATATTTGGGCATACTCTTATTTATTTATTTATGTTGGTAGTAGGGCTTGAACTCTGGGCCTGGGTGCTGTTCCTGAGCTCTTCAGTTCAAGGCAAGCATTCTGCCACTTGAGCCATAGTACCACTCCGGTTTTTCTCAGTGGTTTATTAGAGATAAGAGTCTCATGGACTTTCCTGCCTGGGCTGGCTTTGAACCGCTATCCTCAGATCTCAGTCTCCTGAGTAGCTAGGATCACAGGCGTGAGCCACCAATGCCCGGCAGTATTGTCTTTGGTACTTAGTATGATCATCTTACCACTTATCTGTCAATCACATATATGATGATCAGCCCATAGGTAATATTGCCAGTGATATTTTAGCCATTTTAGTTTGTGTGAATATATTCTGTGAAATTTTCACAACAATAAAGATGACTAACAATCCTTCATGTGCTTGTCTTATGGTGCTGGGGATATGATCCAGCACCTTTCCTGGGCTGGGCAAATGCTGTACCATTGAGCTGTATCCCCAGTTCAACCCATTTCTCAGAATGTATCCCCATTGTTAAAGCGATGCCTGGTTGTACTTGTTAGGCAGTATTGATACTGGCATCAACCCTTGAGTATTCTACCTCAGAATCAGAAGACTCAAATTCATCATCTCCCTTTCAAAATTCGTCCCTCTGGGGCTGGGAAGGTGGCTTAATGGTAGACTGCTTGCCTAGCGTGCATTAAGCCTTGGGATCGATCTCTCATTACCACATACACAGAAAAAGCTGGAAGTGGCACTGTGGCTCAAGTAGTAGAGCACTAGCCTTGAGCAAAAGAAGCTCAGGGACACTGCCCAGGCTCTGAGTTCAAGCCCCAGGACTGGCAAAAAAGAAAAAAAATCATCCCTCTTTGTCATGGAGTTTTATTAGTAAATACGTGCTCTCAACTATCTTCACTCAAGGCTAGTGTTTTACCACTTGAGCCACAGCTCACTTCTGGCTTTTTGGTGATTAATTGGAGATAAGAGACTCATGGACTTTCCTGCTTGGGCTGACTTCAAGCCAGGATCCTCAGATCCTGACTTCTTGAGTGGTTAGAATTACAGTGCTCTACCACTTGAGCTACTAATATCTGGCTTAACACTCCTATTCACTCAGGTGCCATAGCCAGGGAACCAAAATTTGTCTTAGCCTTTTCAGTCTCCTTCATTACCAAGCCCTATTGATAACTATTTTATATAATAACACTTAAATGTATCACCTTCTTTTCTGCTTTCTCAAATACTTTCTGCTTAGTCTAGTCTTACCTTTTCCAATGCAGTCTTCATGTGGCTGCCAGATTAGTACTTGAAATAATTTCCCCATACTGTATAAGAAATACATGTTTGATAATAGGAATTTTTTACACTCTTTTATTTTGGTAGTAGAAGGATTTGAACTTTCAGAGCCTAATGCTTGGTAGGCTGGCACTCTACTAGTTGAATAATGCCTCCAGCTCTGCTTTTTGCTGATAATTTTGGAGATGTTGTCTAGTGAGTTTTTCTGCCACTTGTGCCCAGGCCCCCAGTACTTTATTTTATTTTGATATGGATCTTAGCAAGTTGCTAGGCTGGTCTTTCGCCTCATCCTCCTGAGTAGCTGAGATTACAGGCCTGTGCCACTACGCCTGACTCAACATTTTTTCTTTTTCTGTTTTTCTTTTTCTTTTTTTTCTTTTTCTCTTTTTCTTTTTTTCTTTTTCCTTTTTCTTTTTCTCTTTCTTTTTCCTTTTTCTTTTTCTCTTTCTTTTTCTTTTTCTTTTTGTGGGTCATGGGGCCTGAACTCTGGGGCCTGGGTGCTGTCCCTCAGCTCTTCAGTTCAAGGCTAGTGCTCTACCACTTGAGCCATAGTGCCACTTCCGGCTTTTTTTGCTTATGTTGTGCTGAGGAATCGAACCCAGGGCCTCATGCATGCAAGGCAAACATTCTACCACTGAGCTACCTTCCCAGCCCCTCAACATTTTTTCATAATGAAACTCTGTTTTCCAACGTTAATTCATTTTATTCTCCAAAATGCTACTCAAGGGAAAGTGGAAAAGCTAACCAAAAAAGCAGAAGGAAAAGTTTTAATAGGTTCTTTCTTCCATAGCAACAAGGCTTTTTCTAACAATCTTTCATTAGTGCATATACTGTACGCTTTTGTTGCATACAGTAAAACAATAGCTTCTATGTAGTGCTACTCAATTTTCAAAAATACATAAGATTTTGACCTTGCCTGCAGAGATAAATTTAAGAAATCCTGCAGTAAGAATAGTAGTCATTACTTAAATACCAAAAATGATGCCTAAAGAGGTTCCTGTTGCTCCTGTAGAGCAATAGGAACTTAGTAAAACTTGTTTGCTTCCAGGGTCAAGTAATAGATGTCACTGCACATCATTTATAAACTTCAAATACAGATTGACAGCTTTTCTTTTTTTTTGGGGGGGGGTCCGGTCATGGGGCTTAAACTCTGGGTCTGGGCGCTGTCCCTCAGCTCTTCAGCTCAAGGCTAGCGCTCTACCACTTGAGCCACAGCACCACTTCCGGCTTTTTTCTTTTTGCTTATGTGGTGCTGAGGAATCGAACCCAGGGCCTCATGCATGCAAGGCAAGCGCTCTACCACTGAGCCACCTTCCCACCCCAACAGCTTTTCTTTTTCCTTTTTTTTTTTTTTTTGGTCGGTCGTGGGGCTTGAACTCTCTGCTTGGGCACTGTCCCTGCGCTCTTCAGTTAAGGCAAGTACTTTACCACTTGAGCCACAGCGCTACTTCCGGTTTTCTAGAGATGAGTCTCACAGACTTTCCTGCCTGGGCTGGCTTTGGACTTTCCTGCCTGGGTTGGCTTTGAACTGTGGTCCTCAGATCTCAGCCTCCTGAGTAGCTAGGATTATAGACATGAGCCACCGGTGCCCAGCTTCTAAGCTTTTCCATAATAAAAGTTTGAAGGAGGAATATGAGATTGAAGTATATACAAAATAATCACCTAGTATTTAGGAGTGTAATTCACTGGTAATGGGCTTGTGTGCTCCAGGTTTCATAGCACCACAAAATGTAGTAAAACACTCTTTTATGTACCTCATAATCCAACATTATGAACACTTGTGGCTCTCCAAATATACCATTCTCTATAGCCTTTTTCTAGATTTTTATACATGCTGAACCTCTGTTTGAGTCCCTTCTCATAAGCCTTACACAAATAAATGGGATGCTACTTTTACCATCTTGGACATTGTTTTACTCTTATATTCAGGAGATTTGCAGTGTGGGAATGGTTGCTTTCTGGTCTTAAGAGAGTTGGCAAGGGCTGGGAAGGTGGCTCATTGGTAGAGCGTTTGCCTTGCATGCCTGAAGCCCTGGGTTCGATTCCTCAGCATCACATAAGCAAAAAGAAAAAGTCGGAAGTGGCACTGTGGCTCAAGTGGTAGAACGCTAGCTTTGAGCTGAAGAGCTGAGGGACAACACCCAGGCCCAGAGTTTAGGCCCCAAGACCGGACCCAAAAAAAAAAGAGAGAGAGAGAGAGAGTTGGCAAAGCCAGGCGCTGGTGGCTCATGCCAACCAAAAAATAAAAAAATAAAAAAGAGTTGGCAAATAATTTTACTAGGAAAGATTTTCTTTTTTGCTTTGTTTTGTTTTGTTAATCATGGGGCCTGAACTCTGGGCCTGCACACTGTCCTTCAGCTCTTCAGCTCAAGCTAGTGCTCTACCACTTGAGCCACAGCGCCACTTCCAGCTTTCTAAGTGGTTTATTGGAGATAGGAGTCTCACTGGACTTTCCTTGCCCAGGCTGGCTTTGAACTATGATCCTCAGATTCAGCCTCCTGAGTAGCCAGGATTACAGGCGTGAGCCACCACCATCTGGCTGGGAAAGAAACTTTTGAGTTGTGCTAAGGTTTATATTTTGTTGTGTTTTTAAGACAAAATTTCATTGGCCTCAAACTCACAGTTCTGCTTCAGCCTCTTGAGTTCTGAGATTATAGATGAGAATCATGTCCAGCTGTACTCTTTTTTATGGCTATGAGCTTGCCATGTTGTTTAGCAATAATAAACACTTTTGTTTATGGGACCATTCTTAGATCAGAATTTAAACGTTGAAGGTTTTGTTGTGATTGTTTACCAAAAGCACAGTCAGAGCTTGCCACCAGCAATTTACCTTTTGTGTTTATATGCACGCATACATAATACTGGGGCTTGAATAATGGACCAGTGTACTTTCCTTTAATTTTTTTGTTGGAGACTGGCACTCTACCACTTATGCCACACTTCTGCTTCTGACTTTTTGGTGATTAATTAGAGATGAGTCTCAGACTTTCCTGCCTGGGCTAGCTTCCAACTCTGATCCTCAGATATTAGCCTCCTGAGCAGCTAGGATTTCAGGCATGAGTCACCAGTTCCTGACTTAAGTCTCTCTTAAAGGGATTGTAGCCACTGTAGATCGATGGGCTTCCCTGAAATTGAATATTAAATTTTTAGAGGAAGAAGTCTAAACAGGGTTTGGTGGTAAACACCTGTAGTCCCAATTTGAGGAGGTTGAGGCAAGAGATTTGTAAGTTCTATTCCAGTCTTGGCTAAATAGCAAGAAAGGGAGAGAGAAGGAAGTAGAGGGAGAGAAGAAGGGAGGGAGTCTATAATATCTCCTAGGTCAAGGCTTAGAAGTAAGTAAGGCCGGGCCCTAGTGACTCACACCTGTAATCCTAGGTATTCAGGAGGCTAAGACCTGAAGATTGCATGCAAAGCCAGCCTAGGCAGGAACTCCAGGAGACTCTTATCTCCAATTAACCACCACAAAGCTCAAAATAGTGCTGTGGAAAAGCACTGCCTTGAGGACAAAAGCTCAAGGCAATGCTCAGGTCCTGAGTTCAGGCCCCAGGATTGGCGTGCCAGCGCATGCACGCACGCGTGTGTGCACACACACACACATACGACTTAAATTCCTTTGATCTCCAACACCCTACTGTCCATTGGAAGTCAGGTATTAATATATGCCAAGTGACCTGAGCATTTTGCTTGGGAAGTTACCTGGTTTTATTAAGCTGTATAAAATTCTCTTTAACCATGTAGACTGTGTTTTAACTCTTAGACCTTAGTCAAATTGTCATCTTAGCATAACTATTGTCAGCATAGCTCTGTATTTAAGGGTAGACCACTTGGATAAGTTTCAGTATATATGAAGATGATGCTAAGAACTAAGAAAAGGGGCTGGGAAGGTGGCTCAATGGTAGAGCGCTTGCCTTGCATGCATGAGGCCCTGTGTTTGATTCCCCAGCACCACATAAGCAAAAAGAAAAAAAGCTGGAAGTGGCGCTGTGGCTCAAGTGGAAGAGCGCTAGCCTTGAGCCGAAGAGCTGAGGGACAGCGCCCAGGCCCAGAGTTCAGGCCCCATGACCAGCCCCCCCCAAAAAAAACTAAGAAAAACATACTTTGGTTCTGTGAGATTGTCCTGTGGAGCTTGACATCTGTGTTGCCTACTACACAGGTTCACGTGATGGTTCTATGGGACTCTGGGAAGTGACGGATGATGTATTGACCAAAAGCGATGCAAGGCACAATGTGTCACGGGTCCCTGTGTATGCCCACATTACTCACAAGGTCTTAAAGGACATCCCTAAGGAGAACACAAACCCTGACAACTGCAAGGTCCGGGCTCTGGCCTTTAACAGCAAGAACAAGGTACGAACTCACCAAGTGATCCCTATTTTCTTTAATTATGGCTTGGGAAATGCAATCTCTTCTCATTTGCCCATGAATGGAGTGCTTGCTGTATTCCTTGGTTCAAGGCTAGCATTCTACCACTTGAGCCACAGCTCCACTTCTTGCTTTCTTGGTGGTTAGTTATAGACAAGAGTTCCAGTCTTTCCTGCCCAGGCTAGCTTTTAACAAAGATCCTTAGATCTCAGCTTCCTGAGTAGCTAGGATTATAAGCATGAACCACTGGTGCCTGGCTTCTGAGCACTTCTTTTTTGTTTCATTTTAATGCGTTTTTTAATTGTAAAAATACTGTACAGAGGGGTTACAGTTACATGAGCAGGGTAATGAGTACATTTCCTTTCAAGCATTGTTGTCTCCTCCTTTATTTTTCCCCTACCATCCCTTCTCTCCCAACTGAGTACCTCTTAAAGGCTCAGGAATGCTGGCAAAGAATTATAACTGAGGCCAACCCCACCCCTTGGATTAATCTCTTATTTCTCTTGAGTGGACCATATTTGTGGGGTAACGTTGTACTTTCCCCAGACCAGTGTGACTTGACTCTCTCATGGTATGTCTTTATAGGTGCTCTATTTGGGGGGTGATTTTCATACTTGCCTATGAAAACACTCTGTGTGTGTGTGTGTGTGTGTGTGTGTGTGTGTGTGCCTGCCTATGAAAACACTGTGTGTGTGTGTGTCTCACACAGACTTTCTGCACAAACTGACTTTAAACTGGATCCTCAGGTCTCAGTTTCCTGTATAGCCAGGATGATAGGCGTGAGTCCCCCCCTTTTATTCCCCCCCCCAGCTTAAGTATTATGTTTCTTCTCATTCTTCTTTTCCCTTTCATTGCTACCAAGTCTTACCTAATTATTATGTCAGATCTGATGCTGAAGTTTTTTTTTTTTTTTTGGTCGGTTGTGGGGCTTGAACTCTGGGCCTGAGCGCTGTCCTTTAGCTCAAGGCAAGTGCTCTACCGCTTGAGCGGTGGTTATTAGAGATAAGAGTCTCATGGACTTTCCTGGCCTGGCTGGCTTTGATCTGTGATCCTCGGATCTCAGCCTCCTGTAGCTAGGATTACAGGCATGAGCCACTGACGCCCGGCAGATGCTGAAGTCTTAAATAGACAGAGCTAGAAAAGGCGAAAAGCTTTTGCAAAATCCGAATGAGGCCATAACTTGGAAAATTGTTACCTTAGCCTCCTCCTCCCATCCACATTTCTTTCCACTTACCAGCTGTCACATTGAGGATTAAGAAAACTGGGCTTCACTTGTGTGCTCTACTGCAACAGTACAACCAGGTGGTGGAGTAGGAACTTTTTCAATCATGAGTGCCTGTAGTATTGCTTGCGTAATAATACACTGTTCGGCTGTAGTCCATAGGGTGAGTTGATAGGTTGATAATTCCTGGTACACTCAATGGGAATATCATGGGATAGGAGAAGAGGACAGGAAGACCCCGTGCTTCAAGGTCTTCCCCTGCTTACTGTGGTACAAATTGAACTGTAACCTGTTTTTCATTGCTCTTGTAGGAACTAGGAGCAGTATCTCTAGATGGCTACTTTCATCTTTGGAAGGCTGAAAATACATTATCTAAGGTTTGATGAACATAATTTTTTTATTTTACCTAATGATTCCCCATATAGTTGTGTGTAGATTATTGTTGACTAACACACCTGTTTTCCAAAGGTTTGGGCATGTTATTGCACAGGACATTGAAATTCTGAGTCTGGCTTACTTCTTTTTTTTTTTTCCAACTTACTTTATTATTGTTTTAGAGGTGATTGACAGCAGAGTTATTTTACATACATCTGGAAATAAGTACATTTCCTTTTGCATCTGTTCCCTCATTCTCTCCTATTCCCTCTGTCCCATTTATTTCCACCCATGAGTTGCATAGTTCACTTTAATCAATGTCTGGTGCAGCCAGTGTGCTCTACTGCTGCACTTTTTTCTCTGATTCTGTGCCTTCCCCCAACCTTTCTCAGATGTGGATGTGAAATACACCATATGTAAGTTAAAGAATACAGAGTCAACAAAAAAAGAACAAACAGATTAAGTCCTTTGTTTTCATATCTTTGGAGTTTGTATATTATTTTATATACATATGAGGAGGTACTTGGGTATTGTGTCTCTGTGATTCTCTCCTAAGACTAATCCTCTTTTGGTCCCACTGTATGTGGGTATCTAGAATTCTGTGTAGTTTCTCATATCTCAGTATCTTTTTTTTTTTTTTTTTTTTGGTCAGTCATGGGGCTTGAACTCTGGGCTTGGGTGCTGTCCCTGCCCTCTTCAGCTCAAGGCAAATGCTCTACCACTTGAGCTACAATGCCACTTCCGGTTTTCTAGTGGTTTATTGGAGATAAGAGTCTCATGGACTTTCTTGCCCAGGCTGGCTTTGAACCGTGATCCTCAGATCTCAGCCTCCTGAGTA